TCTCAGGTCGACACGTGTGTGCTCTGCTGCCGCAGAATGAGGCATGTCCCTGTTACAGCCGTGTTCCTGTACAGTGCTCCTGTCACAGTTGTGTTCCCGTACAGTGTCCCCGTCATAGCCGTATCTCCGTACAGTGCTCCCGTCACAGCCGTGTCCTCTTACAGTGCTCCCATCACAACCGTGTTCCTGTACAGTGCTCCCGTCACTGCCGTATCCCCATACAGTGCTCCCGTCACAACCGTGTCCTCTTACAGTGCTCCCGTCACAACCGTGTTCCTGTACAGTGCTCCCGTCACTGCCATATCCCAATACAGTGCTCCCGTCACAGCCGTGTCCTCTTACAGTGCTCCCGTCACAACCGTGTCCTCTTACAGTGCTCCCGTCACTGCCGTATCCCCATACAGTGCTCCCGTCACAGTCGTGTTCCCGTTCAGTGATCCTGTTACAGCCGTGTTCCCGTACAGTGTCCCCGTCATAGATATTTAGTACCCGCATTTGGCTTCTCACTAACCATATCGAAGTTTGGCCCGTGCACCAGGTGCCGTAAGGACTGGGCAAATACAGACCTCTCTCATTGGTGCCGTGCCCGTGTTATGTAATGCCCCTGGCGGCGTGAACAGCACCTCCCGCTGAAACCCCCCCTGCCCTCCCCCCCCAATATGCTTGCTAATTTTGAGTGGTCTCAAGTGACAGGAGCTGTAAACAAATGCGTCTGGCCTACAATGATATTACATATGTAAATGAGAGTGCAAGCAGACACACGACTTCTCTGTTAGGGAACGCTTTCATTTACAGATCCAAGGTGTTACTATAAACATCTCAAGTCTCTGAGAGATTGTTCTTCTTTGATCATATGCCTGAGATGGAGATTTTGTTACATTTCAAAATGAGTCTCATATTTATGGCATTGGTAAGTTTTTAACAAAGTGCATTAATCTTAAACATGCTCATGCTGTTTAGCAGTTAATTCTGCAGGCAAAACCATCAGCATTTCCTGCACCATGCATTAACCCATAATTGGCTAATGAATAATTGAAGCCTGAGAGTACATAGGCTTTTGCCTCAGAATCAGAAATCTCTCTTATAATGAGTGCACCCATATATTCTAATGACTTCTTGGTCTTCAATATCATGTGCAGAATTCCTGTTATCAAACTTATCCACTAGGTTACAGCTGGATGCAGGAGATTTGTGGTCAACCTTTGTTTTTTTGCTGTTTTTTCCAACACGACATCGTCCCCTGATTTCTTAATAGGAAGATAGACACTAGGTCAGTGCACCAGTGTCTGCAAACCCTACTGGGCCCCAGACTCCGAGGACACGTTGTGTACCTAGTGAGTCACAGCAGGGCAACACGCTGACTCAGATATGCTGGCGACTCAGTTACCGAGCACTTATACCTCGTGCATCACTGACGGATCTGCCGGTACTCAGCAGGGGTTTTACAGTAAGCCTTCACCCCAGACACCTCAGGACATGTAACTGGCACTCTTAAATGTATGAAAAGGTAAAACCCTCTAAGAAGATGAAAATTATATGGATTATATGAAAATAACCTACATCCAGAAGTATTAAAGCTTCAAACCCCAGTATGTATGTATATTATATGTATTGTCCATCTCAGGTACATTTAGGATGGGATAAATGATGAGATAAATGAATGCATGAGATGCAGTGTGACATTGTTCCATCCATCCATTTTCTGTAACTGCTTGTCCTATTCAGGGCTGCGTAGTGTCTGGAGCCTGTCCTAGGGGCTACTGGCAGAAGGCACATGGAACAACCCAGGACGGGGTGCCAACCCATCGCAGAGTGTGACATTACTGTAGGCCACAATAAGTTTGGTGTGCGTATGAGGAAGACGAACTTTTTTTTTTTAAACAGAAATCTTTATTTTTCTAAGTACTGTCTCTTTAAGTGGCCTTGCATTGTTCATTATCCAGCTCTGTTCTTGCAGTAGCTAAATGTTTTATTTGTGATGCAGCTTTCAGATGTCTAGCTGTTTCGTTGTTTGCTGGATTGCAGGAGCAGTTGGAGGCTGTATCTTCATGGATATTTATGGCTTGCTTTTTGTCGCACCTTGTTTTTTCCCTGTAAGTATTATTCAAATCAGCTAAACTTGTCTGTGTGCCGTAGCTTGGGGAGGGGCGCCCACCTTCCTCGCAGGGAAGGGCCGATTTCTCCTGCAAAAGACTGCATTTCCTGCAGTGATAAAAATGGGATTTGCACCCGCCATATAGCACACGGGCACTGGGATCGGTGGCATTGTGGAAGTAAGCCGCCATTGTCTTTGTTTCCTTCTGTCGTCACCGTTTTTGCTGTTCTAGTGGAAAAGTACCAACAGTTCCCGGGAAGAATGCATGTGAAGGCCCCGACCGCTCCGACGCAGAGCCCGTGCTGGCAGCCGCCCCGGTCCGGGAGCACAATGGGCCGGCAGATCTCAGCTGCCGCCTGATCCGGGCCCGAGCGCCTCAGTGGCGGCAGAACAAAGGGAGCAGTGATACGGGCGAAGAAAGGCCGAGAAGAGGAGCAACCGCCCTGCCTGTCACACGGGACACCCAGCATACAGCCACCGCCGCCCTGCCCGTCTGCTTGCCCTGAACGCGGAACCACCCCCCCTTTCCGTGCTGACCCAGGCACACGGGAGGCCTGCCAGAAATGCAGTCTCTGTACCGGTTAAGGGCCGTTTCTCCAGGGTGGTGGGGAACATCTTGAGGGCGCTGCATCATGTCTCAGTCCGGCTCCTTCGGTAAAGCCACCATGCAGACGTCTGTAGATTGTGGCACCTGGGCCATTCCCCCACGCACTATTTCACGATTTTGTCCAGCTTTCAGAGCAGTCAGGGCGGGCTCTACCTTTTCAGGGGCCCTGGGCAAAGCTTTGTGCTGGCCCCCCTTGTGCTGATAGGACCCTAAACAGCTGCCTAGATTGGGCCCTGGGCACGGTCTGGATTAATGGCAAACAATTTTCCTTTTTGGAGAGGACATGCTAAGGCGTGCTGCTAAATGCTGCTTTTGAGGAGCGTTCGTCCCATTGACTGCAGGGGTAGAGAACCTGTCCCCGGGGACACGAGGGTGGGGAAGGGCAGAATGTCAGATGCTGAGTAAGAACTTGTTACAGTCATTGTTTGAGGGGATGTCAGGGCAGGACAGCAATGTCAGGGTGTGTCTGATGGGAGGTGGGGGAGGGGGGCAAGGCACATAAAAGGATCAGATGAAAGATGATAATCACCAGGGCTGGGGAGGGGTGAGGGTCTATAAGGAGAATTGCATGCTCATGAGATACTCAAATGAAGTTCAGAGGGGACAGTCTTTTCTGGACAGTTTATTAAGCAGATGCTTTTGTCCAAAACAAGAATCAGAAAACAGAGTCAGTCAGGATCACTAGTCCTGACTAGTCAGAGTTAAAGGGGGTATTACTTTGCCAGCCACAGGATTTAAGCAATGGTGCCCCAATTCCAGTCCTGGAGGCCCAGTCTGTGGCACAGTTTGTGGATTTCCCTGCTCATATACATACAGTGAGGTCAATAAGTATTTGATCACCCTGTGATTTTGCAAGTTCTCTTACTTAGAAATCATGGAGGGGTCTACAATTTTCAGCATAGGTGCATTTCCACTGTGAGAGACAGAATCTAAAAAAAAAAATCCGGAAATCACATTGTATGATTTTTTAACAATTTATTTGTGAATTACTGTGTCAAATAAGTATTTGATCACTTGTGATTTTGCAAGTTCTCTTACTTAGAAATCATGGAGGGGTCTACAATTTTCAGCATAGGTGCATTTCCACTGTGAGAGACAGAATCTAAATAAAAAAATCCGGAAATCACATTGTATGATTTTTTAACAATTTATTTGTGAATTACTGTGTCAAATAAGTATTTGATCACCCTGTGATTTTGCAAGTTCTCTTACTTAGAAATCATGGAGGGGTCTACAATTTTCAGCATAGGTGCATTTCCACTGTGAGAGACAGAATCTAAATAAAAAAATCCGGAAATCACATTGTATGATTTTTTAACAATTTATTTGTGAATTACTGTGTCAAATAAGTATTTGATCACCCTGTGATTTTGCAAGTTCTCTTACTTAGAAATCATGGAGGGGTCTACAATTTTCAGCATAGGTGCATTTCCACTGTGAGAGACAGAATCTAAAAAAAA